ATAAAATGTAATAAATGAAATGACCTGGGGCTAATATTTTTCACAGCTTTCTTTGATATTTTGCTTGCCTTTTAATCCATATGTAGGAATCTGTTATGAACTTAGCTCTATATCTTAAGAAAACCCTTTTATTTAGTGATGATTATACAGGCCAATTACCATTGTCCAAAGTCATAGTTAGTGGGAATGCTAACTTGGCAAATCAGAGAGCACAAGAATGTGCTCCATATTCCTAAAAAAAATTGTACTTTAAGAACCTTATATTGCTTTTGGAGGAGCTAAGTATACTCTTGCTTTCTGTATTTTAATATAAAAAAAGAAAGTAAAATATTTTTCTACATGTGGATGTGTTTTTTTTCATTTTTACTGAAGTATAACTGACAAAATTGTAAAATACTTTAAGTGTACAGTATGATTTGGTATATGTATACATTGCAAAAGGATTCCTCTGTTGAGTTAATAACACATTGCATACTTATCTTTTCTGTGTGAGATTATTTAAGTTCCACTCTCAGCAAATTTCAATTATACAATACAATATTATCAACTATTGGCACAATTTTATACACCATATCTTCAGATTTATTCATCTTCTAGCTGAAAGTTTGCATCCTTTTACCAACCTTTCCCAATTCTTAGCACTCCCTTGCCCCTGGAAACTACATTTTTACACAATGCTTCTATAAATTCATTCCCTTTTTAAAGATTACTTATGTAAGTGACACTATAAAGTGTTTGTCTTTCTCTGTTTGGCTTATATCACTTTGTACAATGCTCTCCAGTTTCATTCATGTTTTTGCAAATGACAGCATTTCCTTCTTTTTAAAGGCTGAATAATATCCCATGACATAAATATATAATATTTACCTTAATAGCTTCAGCATGCACCATCACGTAACTCTTTGGGGACTTGATCTGTCCATGAACTAGAGTAAACGACCATTTTTTAAAAAAAAATTGTTATTCTGTTACAGCTGTCCCAATTTTTCTTCCTTTACCGTCCCCCACCCAGCCTACGCCCTGGTCCCACAGTCAGTCCCCACTCTGTTATCCATGGCATGGGTCATTCATACAAAGTCTTGGACTAGACCCTTCCCAGTCTTTCCACTGTATGACACCGCGCTCCCCGCCTCGGGCTGCTCTCAGTCTGGTCTATGTTTCCATCTCTGGTTCTATTTTGCTTGTTAGTTTATTTTGTGTATTAGATTCTTCTCATAAGTGAGATCACATGGTGTTTGTCTTTCACCAACTGGTTTATTTCACTTAGCATAATATTCTCCAGTTTCATCTTCCCTGAGGACAATCATTTTTTCATATTTTAAAAATTGATTTCTGACACACATAATAGAAGTGTACAATTCATAAAAGTCTATTCATTCACAAAGTGAATATACTCATATAACCTGTGCCCAGTTAAGAAATAAAATGTTACCAACATACCAGTCTAACTCTTAGTATCAATAGTTTTCCTTCTTTTTATGCCTTTAAATAATGGAACAATGTTTTATATTTGTGAGATTCATTCATGCTATTATGTATATTTATATAGGTTTCTTATTTACAAATTTTTGTAGTATTCCACTGGACAAATATAGAACAATTTATTAGTCCATTCTATGGTTGATAGACATGTAGATTGTTTCCAGGTTAAGGTCTTGCAAAAAATGCCACTGAAAGCATTCTTATATATGTGTTTTGGTGAATATACCATGCATTTCTGTTTTTTTGTACTTCGGAGTGCACTTACCACATTATAGGTCTGATTATGTTCAACTTTAGTAGATGATCAAAAACAGTTTTCCCAAGTGGTTGTAAAAATTACAGTTTTCATCAACTCTGTAGAGAGAGAGAATTCTAGTTATTCCACTTCCTTGCTAACACTTGATATTGTCTTTTTTATTATAGCTATTCTGGTTCACACCAATGATTTTTTGAGGAAAATAGCATCCTAGCCGTTGGCATGACCTCAGTAAACCTCTATGCTGAGATTGAGATGTCTTCTTGTCCTTTCCTTTCATGAGAGTATTGCTGCAAGTTGACTGATTATTGAAGCATAAGTTTCTATATTTAGCAAGTCATTCAGAGTATCTGCACTCCTGATAAATGCTGCTTAGTACCTGTCATTAAGTTTGTTAAGTGAAAGAGTAGGTATGAAGACCTTCAGTAAATATTATGAATGCAAGTGCGAAAAACCCCATTCAAACTAGTTTAAAGTGAAAAACTCAATTAATTGGCTTCTGGCTGACACACCAGACTTGGGTGGCTCCAGGGATGAGGCTTCACTTTTCCTATCAAGACTGTTTTTCCACTGAGCAGTCTATCTTAGGCAACCTCTTTCTTTCCCTGAAATGCAAGAATTTTTCTAGTAGCTCCAAACTCCCAGCAGTTAGACAGAAACCAAACCAAAACAACAACAATGATAATTCTCTTACTGTGTTTCTAGAGCTCTCTAATACAAGTCCTGGAATTCAGTCTTCTTGGCCCTGACTGGGCCTTCCGTGTATCAGGGTTGGTACCAGGTCCCTCTGAACCACATGCTCTTAGAGGAGCAATGATTCTTCAAGGGATATTGGGGTGTCATTACCAGAAGAGAGGAGAAAAATGGTTAGTGGCAAGCAAAAACAACAAAATATCCACTACAAGTCAGGTAACTTAAAAAAGGGCAAACGGTCTATTCCTCTAGGTACTATAGGAATTACCCTTGGATTAAGCAAAACTGCTGGAAAATTATATACATAAACTCTATCATTTTAGGGCCTGTGAAACTGCTTTTATTGAAATGTGCTAAGACATTGTGTTATCAGCCTGCATTGAGAGAGTATAATGAATGGCCCTGCAGAATTTCTTGTGTTACAGTCAGATAGTACTGAGGACACTGTTAAGTCTATTTCACTATCCATGTTATAGGATTTCATGGGAGAAAATTCTTCTTGATCTTTCTTTGTATCAAGAAAATTGAACTGTTTATTTCCTCTCTTCCTTTCTCTTCTTTTTTCCTCCCATCCCTTCCCTTCCCTTCCCTCCCCTTCCCTTCCCTTCCCTCTCCTTCCCTTCCCTTCCCTTCCCTCCCCTCCCCTTCCCTTCCCTCCCCTCCCCTCCCTCCCCTCCCCTCCCCTCCCCTCCCTTCCCCTCCCCTCCCCTCCCTCCCCTCCCCTCCCCTCCCTTCCCCTTCCCTTCCCTCCCCTCCCCTCCCCTCCCCTCCCCTTCCCTCCCCTCCCCTCCCCTTCCCTTCCCTTCCCTTCCCTTCCCTTCCCTTCCCTTCCCTTCCCTTCCCTTCCCTTCCCTTCCCTCCCCTTCCCTTCCCTTCCCTTCCCTTCCTTTCCTTTCCCTCTTCTTTTTTGGAATTAAATGACAAAGTTTTTATTCAAGGGTCTTAAGATAGTGTTCTAAAGAAAAAAGTTGAGAATTTTTACAAGTAAAATGTACATTCTTGAGAAAAATCAGTCCTGCATTCTTATCTTCTGGATTGGTCTGAGATGGCGATCTTTCAGATGTCAGGCAGTCTGGGTACTTGAACGTTCTTTCCTAGGTTATTCAGAGGCTTATCTAGAGGCTACAAACACACACATATATGATACATGTGTGAGATATATGATATGTATGTTTTTCAGGCACTGATGTATAAACTCAATGTTTCAAGAGTTTAAGTCCTCGAGCTCATTAAAGTGAAATAAAATAAAATCTATTTCTTATGTTTCAGCCCTTTCTGATGAACATAATTTTGTTGGCTTGGCTACAATCACTCCATTTTGTTTCTTCACTCTTTCCTCATCCCTCTTCCATATTATTTTTATTTTATTTTTAGTGATAATAGTATTACAATTGTCCTACCTTTGCCCCCCCTTGCCCCTTTCTATGTAGCACCCCTCACTCCCTCCGGCGATCCCCCCTCCTTTGTTCATGTCCATGGGACACGCATATAGGTTCATTGGCTACTCCATTTCCTATACTGTTCTTAACATCCCCCTGTTTTGTACCCATCAATTTGTACTTCTTAATCCCTGCGCTTTCTCCCCCATTTCCCCAGACTTCCCCTACTCACGCTGGCCACCATCCCAATGTTCTCCAATCTCTGATAGTGTTTCTGTTCTGCTTGTTTGCTTAATTTGTTTTTTAGATTCAGTTGTTGAGAGTTATATATTTATTGTCATTTTAATGTTCATAGTTTTGATCTTCTTTTCCTTAAATAAATCCCTTTAACATTTCATATAATAATGGTTCGGTGATGATAAACTCCTCTAGCTTTGCCTTGTCTGAGAAGCACTTTGTCTGCTCTTTGATTCTAAATGATAGCTTTGCCGGACAGAGTAATCTAAGTTGTAGGTCCTTGCTTTTCATCACTTTTAATACTCCTTGCTGATCCTTTCTAATCTGCAAAGTTTCTTTTGAGAAATCGGCTGACAGTCTTATGGGAATTCCTTTACATGTAATTAGCTGCTTTTCTATTGCTGTTATTAAAATTCTTTTTTTAATAAATTTTTTTCTTTTTTCTTTATTTAATCTTTGTTGTATATTTTCCCATTATCTTTTAGTTCTATTATTTTTAATTTTTGGCATTTTAGTTATGATGTGTCTTGGTGTGGTCAAGAAGAGTTGAACTGTTTTTAAATACCTTTTGTGATTTTTATCTTATAAATGCTGTGATTTCTGAAACTGATCATGCTTCTTCTTTGCATTGTTAGAATAATAAAGTAAATTTTATGGATTGTTTTAGTCAAATATAACTATACCTCAGTGCAAAGGAGTGATGTTGTTTTGTGCTAACATCACTCCTTTATTTTTATCTTATATTTCCTTTAAATTATGACTTCACAACTCTTTTCTTTTTATTCTGCTATAAGTCCTTTGTAAATTTCCTGAAGTCTTTTCTGAAACAAAGTTGAGAAATAAATAGAATTTGTGAAAATTTCATTTCATGCATTGAAACTGTCACCACAAAATAAGTAAATCTGCTTGGCTTTGGCAAGAAGATTATTAACAGGACCTATTTTGGATTCCAGTTTTATATGGAAGGGTTGTGAAACACTACAGAATCAGAAGACTGGATGAAGGGGGCTTTTTCCTTACTCGGAGAATGACCTTTTCAACACTGAATGAATTTGTGAGCCACTATACCAAGGCAAGCGACGGCCTGTGTGTCAAGCTGGAAAAACCATGCTTAAAGGTGAAATGCTTTCAAGATGTTTTTGTTCGTTTTTGAAGTTAACGTTTTCCCTGCAGATATTGGATATTTTTCATGTGATAGGTCAGTTCAGGGGAAAAAAAAAGTCCTTTGATTACCTAAGGCATAGAAAGGCAGACTATGGCCCAGGTGCCAATACTGTTCCACACTTACATTTGTAAGTGTTATTGGAACACAGACATGCTCATTTATTTACAAATTGTCTTTGCTTTTTTACTGTAGTAGCAGAGTTTAGCAGTTGCAATAGAGGCTGTGGCCCACAAAGCCTGAAATATTTACTATCTCATTCTTTTCAGGAAGTATGCTAACCTTTGACCAAAGGCAATCACTGAAGACAGAAAATATTCATCCTTTGCCCTAAGAAATTAATATGACATCTGCCATTGTAGCACTTAATGATATGGTGGGGGGGGGGGGGAACGTGCCAGAATATAATTCTTACTTAGATCTGTACTAAAAAATATTAATATATAATTACTCGATTGAGTTGTTGGCATGTAGGTATCATTCAACTAACTGTTCTAACAGTTTATTCTTTTGACCTGGCCTGTTTGGTGAGAGAAGATAACATTTACAGATTGTATCTATACCCATCACTATTTAGCTGTTTGCACGCTTTACCTAAATGTATGTAAAGTTAGGTACTGGTCATATACTGTAGTGGGGCAAGCCCTCAGCTCTTCCTCAGAGTCCAGGTCTCACATACTGTAGTGGGACAGTCAGTGCTGCGGTTTCCACCTGGGTGACTGATGAAAACTTCATGATGACACCTGATCAGAATTTTATGGACAAGCAGAAGCTGAAGAATTTTACCCAGTATGTATAGGGTATATTGAGTTAAATTCTACCAGTCAATTCCAGTTAAATTCTAGTAGTCAATTTTGCTATAAAAATGTACATGTTAGTACAGAAATGACCCCACAAGAGTATCTAAGCTCATGCTAGGACATAGCTTAAAAAGATATAGCTTATAGACAAAGCTTATATGCCACGCTTACAAAATACTCAGTTTAACCAATATTGTTAAATTCAGTGGGTAAAAGAGTTTACAAAGAAGCATAGACAACCTTCTCTGTGCTCAAGAGCTGATGACTTGGTGGAGGAGACAATAAATTTCCAATGGTAGATGGTAAACTAGACTATTAACTCTAGGAGAGCAGAGGCCTTGCCTTTTTGGTAGCAGAATGGAACCTAGTTTGTACTTAAAAATATTTATGTATTAAATGAACAAGTAAATGAATTAATGGACAAATAAATGAATTTCAAAAAAGAAAACTAATTATGCAAAAAAAAATATGACACATAAAGTAAATGCTACAGGCCAAAAAGTTTGGGAAGTAATTATGGATGAGGTGGAAACTTCAATTTGGCCTTAAAATTGGGAGGATTTAGCTAGGCCAGGAGGCACAGAGAAATCATGCCAGACCCGTGTGAAGGAGGGATTGGGTGTGGGGCAGGACAGATGGACGGCAGGTGCCTGAGTTAGCAGGACGTGGCGGGGATCAACTTGAAGAAGTAATTATACAGATTCTGCCACACCTGCTTTTCATTTTAAAGTAATTAGAATAAAATTTACAATATTTTGTTTTTTAAAAAAAGCCTTTTTAAAATTATATATTTTCATTCAAAAATTATGAAATCTTATATCTGACAAGTATTTTTATTATTTTGTGACACAGATACAAGTCCCAACTCCTTTTGATTTGTCATACAAAACTGTGGACCAGTGGGAGATAGACCGCAACTCTATACAGCTTCTGAAGCGATTAGGATCCGGTCAGTTTGGTGAAGTGTGGGAAGGCCTGTGGAACAATACTACTCCAGTAGCAGTAAAAACGTTAAAACCAGGTACAAAAATGACAGCGTCCAAAGTTCAATGGCATATGTTGATTTTTCTAATTTCAACTTGCTGCTGTATGTGTCCAGGAGGTCACAGGACAGCCAAATCAGGCACCAGGCAAGTGCTGTGATCACTCTCTGCCTAGGCCTTACAGTCTAAGGCCAAGGCTTTCGACTGTAAGGGCAAGAGCATGCTCCCTGGATAAGCTAAGTCCTAATATATCCCCAATGTAAGATTTCAATAAGGCATCTCTTCTCTAGGGTTAAGACCCAAACCTCCAGTGTCCTTCTTTCCCCCTTTTGTCTAGATTAGGTAAAAAATATTCACTTAAAATATTTAAAAAAATCAGTGGAAACTTGGGGTTAATTCACGTAATGATTATTTTATTACATACTAATTGTATATGGTGAGAGGCAAAGTGGTCCATCTAAAAGACCTCCTATTTGAAATTGTAAGAAGTATTTTTTCTTCCATCTTCTTTTTCCCTGTAGTAAAAATTAAAAGGATACTAAAATCAAAAGTTATTTAATCAGACATTATTTCCTCCATTTTCAAGGTGAGAGGAGAATGTAGAGAGATTAAGTAACTTTCCTAAGGCTTACTAGTCATATAATCTTGAGTAAATTTTAAACTACTTATCTCAGTTTTATCATTTGCAAAATAGAGTTAATAGAGAGGTAATACCAACCTGGCAGGATTGTTATGAAGATTAAATTAGGTCATTAGTGAAAATGGTTTACATAATGTCTGGTTTATAGTACATGGCCAATCAAAACTGTTACAATAATAATCATTATTATTATTAAAGAATTAGTAAAAGGCAAACTTAGAATTTGAACTCACATCTGCTATTATTGCATCACACCCCAGGGAAGCGACATTTCATGAAAATGCAATGTTACTATAGTAGCTCCATATCTACTCCTAATAACATAGGAAAGAATAGTAGCCAGAAGCTAGAACAGAGTTCTCTGGGGACTTCCATTGGTTACCTAGTCCAGAATTCTTACAAGTTTAGAAAGCCACCAGGTGGCAGCACTTGAGCACCTGCTGCTGCTGGCTGGCAGTCTAGTCTAAGACCAAGTTTCTCAAACTGTGTGCCAAGGCACACTAAGGCAACACATTGAATTCACAGGGTATCACAGCATATTTAAAACTTTTGAGATAAACACCTCAAATACTGCACAAACTGCTACAGTATAAAGTACTTTGTAGCTTCAGCATTAGATCATGTTCTATTCCTTTTGCTCACATCTTATCTTTGTGAATCAGGTTTTTGGTGGTTGCTGTGATCAAATGCCTGGTCCACACAAAAATCACTGTGGAACAGAAATGTAGGTAGCAGTGTTGTATCCACTTCCAAGACCCAAGAAATCATGCAGAGCTCAGCAGATGCACATATCCCTTTAGTAATTAATTGTAGTTAAGAATAAAATTTAAAAAATTATTTTTTTGGGATGCAAATACTTCTCAAGTTGTTTGAATTTAACCAAGTAATCAACAGCACTGTTAGATATTCATCTTGGCTAAGGGGCATCTTGAAAAAAGTTACTGAGACAATGAATGTGCCATGAGCCGAGTAAGATCAGGGCCCTCTGGTATAGCAGTGGAGAGCATAAAGTTTGGTCACCTGGCTCTGCCCTCTGTGACTTTGGACAATTTATGAACCTTTTTGAATCTCCTCATCTGAGGGTGAACATTATATTTGTTCCTAATTTATAGGATTTTATAAGGACAAACTGAGTAAATTTACATCAAAGATGCGCAGTGAATTCTTCATAAATGTTAGCTTTGATTTGACCATTGTCAAATTTGTAGGAGTCCAGTCTCAGCACTTATCCCTGCCACATGAAACAGTGGAGGAACACTTTTAAGTGGCCAGATGCCCTGTGAGTACCCCAGGTGAGGACAATTTGTTCCAACACCTGAGATTTCCACAGTCACCGTGTGTTTATGATTTTGAATTCTAATCTTGTTGACAATTGAGACTAAACTTTAATGTCCAATCTAATTTTTTTCCAAAGAAGCAGCAGCTAGCTATTCATCCTAACATTGCTCTCCAAGGAGAGCTTTCTGGAGGTCAAAAAAGAACAAAAAAAAATCAGATTTCTTATATTAAAAAATGTACCATAATAGCTTTCTCTCCAACAGGAATAATTATTATTGATTTACAGTGCAATAGCAGCAAACAGCTTTGGTGATTGGTTAAATGTCTTCACTTCACGGGGGCCATTAATCAATCTTAGCAGCTATTTATTGCTTAGTAGACTACCATACAATAAAGACGAGCCTGAAATCAACTCCCACAGTAGCTTTGACAGGCAGAAATTAATATTTAATGTTGCATTACAAGTGGAGTTGAGATTTGGTCTCCTTTGCTGTGCAGCTGGTCAGCTGTAACCAGTGTAGCCAGCCTTCACCTGCAGAGATATTGTGGTTTCAACTTTTGTGAACAGCCTGATTTAGCAATCATTTGAAAGTCCTATATTCCAAGAATCTATCATCCACCCAAATCATCAACATAGAAACATATTGCATATATATATAAATTGTCTGAATGGTGATCATAATTTCTAGTACCACTGGAAGCTTCATGAATCAGATTATTTTTTTGTGGGTGAGGAGGATCCCATTATATTCATCATTGACCATTGGCCAAACTAGTAACAACCCAGAATAAAGTCCTTTATTATGGTTTGAGTGCCTTTTTTATATTCAGGTCCATTTTGCCACTATGATTCAAGATTTTTATACCATTTCATTATAGGGTGCAAACCAATGGTAGGGATGAAACTGAGGAAGCTCAGAAAAATGTGATGGGAAAAATAGGCCATTTCCCCTTATCTTCCTTCTTTAAGTCCTTGCCCCTTCCCCTCAGCTGGTGAAAAAGTGGATACAGTTGATTTGTTTGGTTTATCCCAGAGTATGCATATTAATAATAATACAAATAATGGTCAAGGCATTGTTATTATCCTGACAATCATTTTATGATGCCAGGGAGATTATTAGCCATGGTTTAGAGAAGGAGAAACTGAAGTTCAAAGATGTTTGATAACTTGCAAAAAATCACACAGTGAGCCAGAATTTGTTCAGAATCTGGAGTTTTATTGAGCCTGGGTTATGAAATTCTAGACTCTCAAAGGGCATGTTAAAGGATAGACTACCCAAATCCTTTATGTGAAATGATCTGTGGGTTACATGTAGCTCTTCTTTATGGCACATTAGTAATCAAGTCAGAGTGTTACCTTAGGATATCAAAGCTAATCTTCATGCCTCAGTTAAAATATCAGTTGTGAACTCCAGTGTGAGAGGACTTTCTAAGCATCAACAGAAATATTTGCACTATTCATAGTGAAAACTGAAATGTAAAATTATAGTATTTCTTCAATTACAATAATATCTCTGAAACAACATATCCCACAAGAAGTTAAAGATTTAAAAGTTACTGATGAAATGTAAACTCCAGGTATTCTTCCGCCTCTCAGATTTTATTTGTTGTTAACTGCTTAGCACTTTGCATGCTGAGTCAGAGTTGAGCCATTTAAATGCAATTTATTTGTATTGTAGATAAGTCTTCAGAATAGGTCCCAATATTGTGTCCCTCATCATTTGTTCAAGCTATCAGGACCCTGCCTGTGGAAATATTAATACACAGGAGAAAATGTTGAATATTGATTTCAAGTTAGACATAAAACACTGGTGGAAAAACACTAAGTTTGGGGGGTGGTCTTTGAATATTTTCTGCTTGGCCTAAACCATATCTCCCTATGGAACTGAAGACATAAATATGGCTGAATGTCATTGCTTTAGGCTTGTTATACAGCTATTCCCACAGTGGGTACCAAGGACAGCGCAGCCGTCAGTCTTCCCTGGATCCTGAACCAAAAAGCTCTGGGTGCAGGAGTTAAGCATTCAGTGTCCTCCAACATTCATGTTAATAGGATGTCTTCTCTTTGTGTTATTAAGGTGCTTGCCTTGTTTTATCAATTAGACTATCAGTCTCTCCTTTTTTGTTTGTTTTTCATATGGACCTGAATCAACCTTTCTTTACCTACAGATCATAATGCATAAACTACATGCCCAGATGCACCAACACTCCAATTATTAGGTTGCCCTGGATGAACTGATTCTCTTCTTTGATAAGTCCAAAGATTTGTGACACCAATGTTCTTACTTTACTGAGAGGCAGGAAACAATCTTGGTGATTCCCACAAGGCTGCTGTGAGGATAGGAATGCTTCAACAGCGTAAAGTGATTTCCTCCTCTTCTCATTTCAGGTTCAATGGATCCAAATGACTTCCTGAGGGAGGCACAGATAATGAAGAACTTAAGACATCCAAAGCTTATCCGGCTTTATGCTGTTTGCACTTTAGAAGATCCAATTTATATTATTACAGAGTTGATGAGACATGGAAGTCTGCAAGAATATCTCCAAAGTAAGCTAAAGACTTAATAAAAGGGGAAAAAAGAGTAATTTAGTTTTAGCAAGTCCTATAAATGTCAATTTAGCAAGCTTTCTATAACCTAAAGGATATTTACTATGTGTATATCTATGAGAATGAATGTCTTCACATTGAATTGCTCAACTACTCTTTAATAGGATATATACTGTGCACTCAAAGGAAGGAAAAATATTTATGTAGTGGAAGAACAAATTGTTCACTATAGACACATCGAAGTACTTAAATGTAACGTGGAAAATTGAAGAATAGATGTTTTGCATGATGCTTTATTTCCTATAATAACTAATTGAGCATTATGGGTCATGGACCAATATTTTCTATGGCTTAGAATTAGGGAATGTAAGATGCTTTTGGAAAAAGGGGGAGGTACCCTTATTTTTTCTTTGTCAGTATTTGACTACCTTGTACTTGTTGGTGTTTAAAATACTTCTACTATTAAGCAAAATTAGAATTTTTGGACTAAACAGCAGAAATCTACCATTGCTTTATTTTTACATCTGTTTCCTATAGTCAGAGAAGACTTAAGGGCACTGTAAAATTTGCATGTTTATTAATGAATAATTTCATAAGCACCAAATGATAAGCCTTAAAATGAGATGCTCAAAGTAGTTGAGATCAAGCACTGAGAGAATATAGTTAATCTTGAACAATGTAGGGTTACTGGTGCTGACCTGCTACATAGTTGAAGATTTGTGTATAGCTTTTTGTGCACAAGTTCAGGGTGACTTGTGAAACTGGTAGTATTCAATTGCAAAACTGCATTAGAAGAACTGAGAACATAAGGCCTATTTAATGCTGTTAAAAACAAAAATACACCTAGCTCCTTTGCATACAGGTATAAAATTTAACAGTATCAGAATACGTTAAGTACTATAAAAAAACCAACCTCAGCCATAGATCCCTTTTGTCCTTATTTCCAGGGATAAAAGTACAGAAGCTATCTTGGGTCATTGTTAACAAAAATGTTTGTCAAGGTCACTTATAACATTCACTGTGTTAAATCTAATAGTCAGTTTTTAATCCTCAGACCAATCAGCAGTATTTCATTCAATGGACAGTTTCTCCTTCTGGAAACACTTCTTTTATATAGCTTCTACGAATCTTCACTCAATGACCTTTCCCCTAGTTTTTTGCTGGTTTTTCTCAATTTAAGTGATTTCTCTCATGTCCCAGGATAACTTGGAATTTTCCAGGACTACATTGCAATTCAATAATTCCCTTGATAATCTCAATCAGTTGCATTGTTTAGTAATATTTATGTATCAAAAATCTCCCAATTTATATCCCTCCATTACTTTAGAATCATATCTCCAACTGCTTTCATAACTTTTCTACTTAAACGTTGTGTCAGCCTGAATGATATAGGTATGATGCAGTGAGAAATAGCCTTCAAGTCCCAGAAGACTTAACACAACAGGTGTTTATTTTGCTCATGATACATGTTCATGACTGGCGCCTCAACTCTCTTGATCACTTGGCAAGAGCAGGGGATATGACTAATCTTATTCTAGCTCTTAATGCTTCTGACCTTGAGTGACAGACATGACTTTTGTGTCCTTTTCATTGGGCCTAATCAAAGGGAGTAAGAGAGTATGATTCTCTAAAGTTCTTAAAAGGAGACAAAAATAAGTGTATGTGAACAGCCCTACCACCTATGTCTAGTAGACATTTTAAAACATGTCCCAAACGGATCTTCTAGCATTGTCCCCAGTAATCTGCAACTCTTGTGGTTTTTCTTTCTTCAATAATATCAATAATCAGACTTAATACATTGGAATCATTTCTGCTTCTCACATCTCATGTCTAAGTAACCAGGAAATCCTATTGTCTTGCTTTCCGAATATACCCAGAATATTACCACCTCTCAACACTCCCACTCTGGTCCAAGCCATCATCAGCTCTCTCCTGGATTCTGCAAGAGCATCTTAATTGGTCTCCCTCTTTTGGTGCTTGTTCCCTTCATTCTCTGCTCAATATAGTAGCCCGAGAGATCCTGTTAAAATGTAAATCAGACTGTGTCCCTCCTCAGCTTAAAACCTTCAATGACTCCTGTTGGTTTTTCTCTCTGTAAAAGCCATGAAGTCCCATGTGACATGCTTCTCTATTCCTTCTCTGACCACGTCTCCCACATCTTCCCACTTGTTCACACTGGAAGCTACACCACCCTCCTTTGCTGCTCTTTGTATCTTCTAGATGTGTTTTCCTTTAGGCACTTCACATTTGCTGTTTTTTAGATCTGAAATAGGTTTCCCATTACTTATCCACATAGTGCACTTTTTTACTTCATGAAAGTCTTCCTAAAATATCCTCAGACATTCCCATCATATTGAGTCCTTCACTGATCACCCTCTAAATTCTACTTAAAATTTAATCTCCCTCTTTTGAGTCTTTATATTCCTCTTTCCTCCTTTTTGTTTTTCCTTTTAGGTCTTAATGATTTTATATTGCATGACATTTAGGGAGCTTATTTTTAGTATCTTTTGAAGTACAACTCCACGAGGGCAGAGCTTTTTATTTTTCTTTTTAGTGCTAGAACAGTGTCTGGCTGACTGAATGAATAAATTAATGGATAGATTAAGTTGGGCCTTTTCCGAACCAAATGAGATTGACTCGGGGCCAAGCTTGTTTTGAGGGTCTTATTATCAGCTTGTTAACTGCTATAACACAGAATTCAAAAATCCCAGTGACATAAAAAAATATGCAGTTTTGACATGCATCGGCCACCTCTTCTTCAAATGGTGACATGGAGATTTAGACTCCTTTCATCATGTGGCTCTGTCATTTAGAAATTCATCTCTTCTAGCTACAAAGATGTGGGAGATTATAAGGATCAGGCCTGTAAGTGACGAGCATCTTCTCTGCAAACATTGCAGTGCACAGAACTCATGACATGACTCAATGTAACTGCAAGGGAAGATAGGGAACAAGTCTGTGTTTGGGAAGAAAAAGGCCAAATAGATCAGTGAGCAGTTAGTTTCAGGTTGCATTCTATTGAAATATGCTCCTTGCATCAAAAATATATATATAAGTACCTACACACACACACACACACACACACACACACACCATTCTTAGATCTTTATCATTTAAAAATGTCTGTGACAGTATTTATTTTATTTTTTTATTGAAAAAGATAACATATGTGTAGAAAGCACACATATCACATAGTAGAATTTATCCTTCATTATAAACCAGAAATCAAGAATGAGACCATGGCCTGCACTCTGGAACCCCCTGAGTACTTTGTCAATGACAACCCCTCACTATCATGGATTTAATGGTACTTGCTTCCCTTGACTTACATGTTCCTCTACCAGCCCCTTGTTGTCTTCCTCTCTTGACTGAGGTTTTGGAAATTGATATTTCCCCATACTGCTTCCATGTCTTCAGCTCCCATCCAGACCTCAACCCCTTATACCCTCTCTCCAGTGAAACAGTTTTTCCTTCCACCAAAGTCACTGATGACTCCCTAGTTATTATATTTAACAAAGTACTTTTAATCCTTATCTTGCTTGATCTATTTGTAGAATTTGACAATGGAGGTGACTTTCTTTTCCCTCACCCTAAATGTTGGTGTTTCTCATGATTCTGTTGCTTTCTAGCACTTTTATCCACTAAAGTTTAACTCCCACTCATGAACTGTGACAGTTAAATCCATATCTCCAGCAGCATGTGCTCCCCTGAACTCCAGACTGATATGCTTTCTTTCTTTTAGGCATTTCCATTTGGGTAATCCGTATGCACCTTTAGTTTAACAAATCCTAAACTGTTTAATTCTGATTAGGCAGCACCAACAGTGATAGTAATAACAGGTAGGGTTTACTGAGTTCTCTCTAGGTACAACGCACTGTTTTAAGTGCTTTACATGTATTAAATCATTTTACTTCTCACTTTAACAACTAGTACCATCAGGTAAGTACAGCTATCACTATATAGATAAGGAGCCTGAGGCATAAGAATGTTAAGCAGCTTATCTGCAGTCAGGAAAGGACTGTGAAGCAGAGCCCTGACCCAGCGCCTGGCACTCCAGCTTCCCACCAGCTCCAGCGCTCGTACTGGAGTTGCCTCTCAAGTCAGAAGTTGTGCCTAAGACTCTGGACCAGGAGCGCAACACACTTTTTTTTTTTCACAATATTTGGCTTATTAAGTCAGGGATAAAGATAGTTGAGACTTACATGAGACTTTTTAAATTATTCGGAAAGCTGAACATATCTCCTAAGAGTTGTCAGTTAAACACTATCAAAAAATGGCTGGCCCCACTTCACAAAGTCATCACAAAATAACACTAACCTCTCTAGTAATATCAAATGGCCCCTACAACATGAATTTCCTATACTTGGCTGCACAGACCTTGAGCAGTAGGAGAAACTATGTCTATTTACACCCACACTTGCCAAAATGAACAACCTATTCAAAGAATAATAGGCTAAAAAAGAGAAATAAAAAAATGTATCAAGCTGGAGTACAAATGTAATATACACATTTTATAACTACTGAATGACGCTTCATTTCTGTTAGTGAACTAGGTTTAAAGAACAGTTTGATGGAAGAATGGTAGCTTTTTATCAGCTCAGCCATGCAAATTAGCATTGTTTTATAGGTTCAAAAACTAGGCAACCAAGTAACAATGTTCATGAAGGGATGAAGCAATGATATGAGAGTATGGAAAATGGCAATTCTTGACTCTTTCAGATACTTCCAGCTGTTTGGATCATGTGATACTGTTGTTTCTTTCTCTGTATAACACTTATCCAGGGAAGGGTAGACTGCAACCTTGGAATATGTTTGGACTCTGAAAATTGTTGCTTTATTAATCCTTTACAAAAAATAAAAAACTCTTGTGTGGAGATTATCTATCTATCTATCTATCTATCTATCTATCTATCTATCTATCTAACATCATCTATCATTTCCTCTACAGATCAGTACTATGGCACTTAATCTCACTGCTAGCTCATTCACCAACGTTCCCTGAATTCACTTCAGTAGTTCAAATGTTCCCCAAAGTAAATCTTTTATTTCTCTTATTGCCTAGATGATGCTGGATCAAAAATCCATCTGACTGAACAGGTAGACATGGCCGCACAGGTTGCCTCTGGAATGGCCTATCTCGAGTCCCAGAACTACATCCACAGAGATCTGGCTGCCAGAAATGTCCTTGTTGGTGAACATAATATCTACAAAGTGGCAGATTTTGGACTTGCAAGAGTTTTTAAGGTCTGATTTTGTTTTAATTAGTTTTTGTAATGGGTAAAAACTAACAGATCAGTAGAATAATAGATTTATTGTTATCCTTTAAAACAATGTTTCTCCAAGATCTGTGGTCCATAGAATGCTTCAGTAAGCCAAGGCCTTACAGACAAATTATCTTCTGTTTCTAAGGAGAAAGAGATAGGGAAAATGATGATCAACCAGATGGGAGAGTATATAATTAATTTTGTAGTTGAATCAGTAATCTATTTATCAGTACTAGTAGCTTCTGTTTGCCTGCCTCTATTTCTTTTATTAAGAGCAGCACACTTGGTACAGTTACCCAACCTACATTTGCTCGCTTTATGCCAAGCTAATATTCATGCTGCCAGAACTTTTCAACTGTCAGGGGCTTTTAAATTCCTGTAGCCTTTTTTTTTTCCATTTCATGACATTAGGCTAAAAAACATTGATCTAGGAGATATAATATCAAGTGTTTTTCTCTGAATTTGATTTTTAATTTCTACAGTTTACCCTAAAATTATGAGTGTGGGTCATGAAACAATAAATAAATGATTCTCTTTTGATCTTCATGAATTCATCACTTCTTTTTGTAAATTAATTAGAACTTTAGTGACACCATAAAAGTTCTAGAGGAGAACATAGGCAGGAAACTCTCAGATATTCCATGCAGCAATATTTTCACCTATATGTCCCCTGGAGCAAGGTACATAAAGGAAAGAATAAAGAAATAGAACTTCATCAAAATAAGAAGTTTCTGCATGGCTAAAGAAAACATCAACAAAATGAAAAAGGAACCAGCCTGTGGGAAAATACATTTGCCAATGATACCTTGGGCAAGGGTTTGATCTCCAAAATATATAAAAAACTCACATGACTCCACTCCAGGAAGACAATCAATCTAATTAAAAAATAGGCAAAGGATCTGAACAGACACTTCTCCTAGGAGGACATACAGAGGGCCCAGAGACATATGAGAAGATGCTCAGCATCACTAGCCATCAGAGAGATGCAAATTAAAACCACAATGAGATACCACTTCACACCAGTCAGAATGGTCATCATAAACAAATCAACAAACAACGGGTGCTGGTGAGGTTGTGGAGAAAAGGGAACCCTAGTGCACTGTTGGTGGGAATGCAGACTGGTGCAGCCACTATGGAAAACAGTTTGGAATTTCCTCAAAAAGCTAAAAATAGAACTGCCTTTTGACCCAGCAATTCCATCGCTGGGATTATACCCTAAAAATCCCAAAACACCAATTCAGAAGGACCTGTGCACCCCAATGGTCATAGCAGCACAATTTACAATTGCCAAGTGCTGGAAGCAACCTGAGTGCCCAACAGTAAATGAGTGGATCAAAGAACTATGGTACATTCACACACTGCAATATTATGCAGCAGAAAGAAAGAGCTACTACCCTTCATGACAGCAGGGATGGCACTAGAGATCATTATGCTAAGTGAAATGAGTCAGGGAGAGAAATAAAAATACCATATGATCTCTCCTATAAGAGGAACCTAAGCAACAAAACAAACAAGCAAGCAAAATATAACCTGCAACATTGAAATAAAAAACAAACTGACAGTAAATGGAGGGGAGGGAGATAATGTGGGAAAGAAGGGGAAGGGTTGTAAAGGAACATGTATAAAGGACCCATGGACAAAGCCAAAGGGAGGTAGGACTGAGGGTGGGAAGTGGGAGTGGGTGGGGCAGGGGAAAATGGTGGCAGGAAAATGGAAACTGTACTTGAAAAACAATAAAAAAAATTGTCAAAAGGAAAAAAGAGAACCTCAGTGAGTTGATATATTAATTTAAATCTTTTGGATCCTACTTTTCAGTGTTAAAAAGTGGTTGCATGGTAATTATCAAAGTCAAATGCTATTAAAAACTAGCAGTAAATCAGGAAACAGACAGGCTTTGCTTTCACTTTTTTTATTTGTTAAAGACCAGATGTAAAGCCAATTTCATCATACATGAATTCTCCCATATGCAGTAGAAAGCTCCTTATAGGGCTATGTTTAGTACACAGTAGGCTCTCAAGTAATATTTTATTAATAACTTTTCATGGAACTTTCAGTCTTGTATGGCAGCTTTGGAATTTGGTACTGTAGTTTTCAATTGAACTATGCTCATTTTTAATGTTTTCCTTCTAAATTTTGATGTGTAGTAGGTTACAGATGAATGAGGGTGGCAAATAGATATAGATATATCTATAGATGTATCTATAGATATATCTATATATATCATTTTAACTTGGCTTGATTTTTTTTAATGCATTAGCAGGTAGATAATGAAGACATTTATGAATCTAAACAAGAAATAAAGCTGCCAGTGAAATGGACTGCACTTGAAGCCATTCGTACTAATAAATTCAGCATTAAGTCCGATGTGTGGTCATTTGGAATCCTTCTTTATGAAATCATGACTTATGGCAAAATGCCTTATAGTGGTGAGTAATTAGTTCTGAAGTGGGTCTTTCTGTTATAGGTCACTTACTTAGGTATGATTTTAACTGCTTCACCCAGAGTTAGTGGGCAGCGTTATGAGAATGACTATACCATGTGCCTTTGGGAACATAAGAGATAAAATTTGATGACAATGATTTGCATTAATGAGGCGGTTTATTGCCTCCTTCTCCTTTGTTCATGAATTGCAGTCTTACAGACATTACTTGCTACAGGAATTAATTTAATCTCTGCAGCCTAGGAAGGAGATGATAGACATAGCTTCACCAATGAAATCAGTTTACTTTTTAATCTCGAATGTAAGTTTCTATGAATTTAATCTTATCTTTAACTTGTCTTTTGTTGATTTCATTCTATATTTTTAGGTATGACAGGTGCTCAGGTAGTCCAGATGTTGAGTCAAAACTATAGACTCCCTCAACCACCTGACTGTCCAGAGAAACTCTACAACATCATGTTGGAGTGCTGGAATGCAGAACCGAAGGAACGGCCAAGTTTTAAGAGGCTGTATTTGATCCTTGAGGACTATTTTGAAATAGACTCTTCATATACAGATCATTTCATAGGATGAACAGGGAAGAAGATTGTCAGAAAATGAAGTAGAAATGAAGGTCTATAATTAGTCCAGAAATACAGCTTTATCAACCAACTGCAAAATGAGTTTAGCATGGTATATTCAAGTGATAGGGTCTATTTGGCCATGTATTATTAAAAAATATTGCACATTTCATTGACTGAGCAATACTGCAGGAGAGTCTAATGTGGTCTGTCATTTTCTCACTGCTTGATGAAATCAAACCCACTAAAAGTTATTTTTCTTTTTAAAAGATACTTAATTTTCTATTTATTGTTTGAAATGTCAATCAAGAGGATCAACAAATGGTAGTCAATTTTTACTCAGTAACTGTTGTAGCATTTTCCTGTTTACTGATTAAAGTGGTTATTCATTATTGCCTGGATTACTGAATCCTATCGGACTGCAATTATGAAGGAATTTGATTGCTTTGCTGCAAAGCAGGGACTGTGCTTTAAGATTTTTTTCTCTTTTAAAATATCCTGCAACTACAATTATGGTAAAGCCATGTTAAATGACTTGATTGTACTTGGAATAATCACACATATTTTTTTCCTATGCATAAAAATATGAAGCAGCTGTTGAGAAAAAGAATTAAAATTTCTCTCATTCTGGAGATGGAAATGATGGAATTTTCCTATATCTCAGTATATATCATCTGAGGATCACCTACATTAGTTTTAATGTCTTAATATTAAGAAATCAGATTGTAAACCTGATGAGTTATTATCTATGGAAACATGTGAGGAAACTTCTCGTAGCCTGACACTGAGAAGTAAGTGTCAAAATAGTTTAGGAAAACAAGAAGAGACCAGTAGGATTGCTATAGCTTATGATTTCTGAATAATTTAAAAAATGTACCTGTGGCATATAGGCCAGAGTTTAAAATTGACTGTAAAACAAATCAAGCTCTCTTTCAGATCTAGGCTAGGAATGATGTCTGGCCTTGGTTATGAAACTGTATTTTTTGTCTGGTAGGACAAGAAGGTTCTTACTCATCTTAAATGTGCATTAACCTTTGTAAGAATATTACCATCTTTCTAAGCAGTGGGTATGTCAAATTATGTGTCTTATTAGATGGTTAAGGAGAGTTCTTAAAGGTAGTTACAAAATCAAATACACATTTAAAGATCTTCTGATGTACAGTAACATGAAACAAGCCCAGAGAAAAGTGTATCTTGTCATCTTTTTTTAAAGGGGAAGAGGATCATGTGTAAACAGTCATGGTAACCCCAACTCAACGTGGATTAAACAATACGTAAATTTGTGAACTTTCTAACTGAAAGACAGGAGGTAGGGAGGACTCTAAGCAGAGCGCCATTAGTAGTCCAATGATAGCCACTAAGATCCAAGTCCTTTCTGATTCTCCCCTCTGCCACCAGCATTGTCCTCATTCTCACGGCCACTGGTGGCTGCCAGCAGCAGCTGGGGCTCCCTATTCTCTTCTCATTTGGTAAGAGAAAATGGGATACACTCTGCACTTTCATCTTGAATAAAAACCATTCTTTTTCTCTCTAGACAAATTGGGGTCATCTGCCCAGCCCAGGACCAGTAATAGACTCGTTGTTAAGTGCCAATTGGCTTAGAATAAGTTTTGCTGCAGAAGTTGGAAATGTGATCATCTTTCCTGGAAACAAGTTGGGAGCTTGGCTTATCTGAATAAAATTAGAGAAGATTAGATGGTAGAAAGGTACTGATTAAAAAGAAAATCCCCTGAGATGAAGTAGCTATAATACATATACACAATGTGTACTGAAACTAAAATGGGTCATGTGGAGCTAATAATTATAGAGCCTCTTGATTGCTTTCTGAATAGAAAATATTTGTAAAATAAGGTAAATACTGATCTTTTTAATCAGTTGACCATTTAAAGTCATTGAGTCTAATTGTGAAAATTCAAATACTATATAATTTGTCTTTTCATAGCAGCTAAGAATAAGAATAATTATTTTAGTAAGATCTGATTTTTCAAATATATAAAGATGGTCCTTTCTTGTTTTAATACCACCTGGAACCCATTTAACTTTTTGCATTTGATTCTTGGAGATGTTTATGTTCAAGGTTCTGTCAAAGCAATCTATTATTCTTGTTTTTACCTGATTGATCATGGAGAAAAAGAATGGATTCAGTTATGAGAAGCAGTAATAGATTTTTTAAAAACTGACATAAATTTCTTTTTCTGTATAGAATAAAAAGATCAGGAAAAGATAAGTTGAATTTTCCTACAATGAAGCAGCTCTTGTTAAATTTACCACCCATAAATTGTAGCAAAGCACTTTCTATGTAATGTTTTATTTATGTGATGCAGTTATTTGGAGGTGGTGGTGAAGGATGTGACTACATGATTTCATATGGTATTTCAAATCTCTTTTGACAAAAACCTAAGAATTTTTGTAGTAGAAAAAAATTCAAAATTCCATTAAGCCTCTTTAAGAAGGTTATGAAGGAAATAGTTTAACCTTACCTAAGGTCAAAAGAGGCACAGTGTAGACTCCATATAGTTGTGAAGTGTGAATATTTTGTCATTAAAAAGTCAAAGTGCCCAGCAATCTTCAAATTGGGTTGTGGCAATGGGGATATTTATAGGACACCAAAGAATAGGCCGTGTGGAAATACCAGGCTGGGCCCATTTACAACATCTACTCATAACATGTCTGCTTGGTGACTCCATGGACTAACTGAACCATAAGGGCCCAAACTCTTTTGATTCTCTGGTGGCCCAAAGGGACCATTGCCCTTGGAAAGATGCCATTCTGTCACACAGCTGGAGCTTCCTGGAAGAAGCAGGGCCCAGATGGTGATCCATGGCCTTGCCAAGCATGTGTCCTACCTGCAATAATGTTTTTTAAGGCCCAGTTGAGCATACGGTTTCTAGATCAAACAGTCTGGTGGGTAATGTGACTGTGGAGATTTTTCAGGACCCTTTGAAAAGATACATTGTGTGAACCAGAATGGGAGTAGTTTGGGCACTTATTTAAATTGTGTCATTGTGTTCTTCCATTGAGGAAGGCCACCTTTAAAAGAAAAAGTAAATGAGATTTGTATATTTGGGCATTGGAATCGCCTGTAAGCTCATGTGAAAATATTGGGTTCATATATTTCCTAGCATTATTGCAGAGAAGTTTTGGCCTGTAATCTTCAACATGATTCAAATATTCACTGTTGTAGTATCGTAAAAAAAAAATTCTAGGAAGTTTGACAGGGAATACTTATAAATCTTTTAAATCCATGACTCCAACAATACTTTAATTTTCACAACATCATTCTTTCACTACCTATATTGCCCCATTAAACTCTAAATTTTTCCTTTTTTATATTAAAGAAGTGATAGTAAATCTCTTAAATTATTTAATACATTTAGGAATAAACTAGAGAATAAAAAGAGTATGCAAACCTTGAATTTAAGAGTCCTTAACAAGTTTAGCTTCAACCTCTACTCCAATGGCACTATTTATATACGGTATTAAATTATAAGGAAAGAGACATCAAGTATTTCTATTTACTCTTCTTGCCTGGGTTTATTCATTGATCATCTAAAGAAACAGACTTCAATGTAACATCTTTTTATCCTTATGAAAAATAACCCATTCTTTCAGAAAAAGATAGCCAATGTGAGACATGCCTTAAGTGTCTAGTATGTGTATTGTTCTGCAGGGGACTCAAGTCATATAACTTAATAATCATGAAGTCTCATGTTAGGGAAAAATGGTTAAAAGTATCAAAAAGTGATTAGTTTGGAAGAAGCTAAACATTTTTGAATAATAATTTCCTGAAATTTTAGAATACAGGCTTTGATTGTACTATTTGTGAAAGATAACAAAGCTTGGTATTAACCAAATTACATTTAATTTTTAAGGCCCACACATTTTCAGGGTAAAAGATCTCATAGTTTTTAGTCATTTTTCAAAATCTATATTTAATTATAATTCAGAAAGTGAAAAACAAAAGCAATTAGCCAGATTAGTACACTTTGAGGGTACCACAGTGAGATTTTTGCCTCTAAAATATATGCATTTCTATATTGTACCCTTTAATAATATTTATTATATTATTTATATAATTGTAAAATTACATGTGAGTATATATTACATATGATTAATTTTATGTAGCAAATAGGATTTAACACACCTCTTTTAATTGTACCACTTGTTATTATAATGTTATTACTTTCCTGATTCAAATGCCACTATTTAATTTTCAAAAATATTTCTTTTCTGGGTTTTTTAAAGTACTCAGAAAAAAGGCTTTTCTTGAAAATATATTTTACCCTATGTGTTATACCTTTTTTCACATGTGATTTGTTCATTATGCTAGTTATCTCTTTTTTAAAAATTTAATTACTTTTTTTCAGAGTTTTTTTACTGTATTTTTCCATTGCTTCTTCACCCCCTTATACCTGCCTGGCCTCTGCAATCACCACACTGTTGTTCATTTCCATTTCTTTTTTTGCTCAATCCCTCCACCCTCTAACCTCTGCCCTCCCAATAGCTCTTATCCTGCTCTCTATTTATGACTCTGTCTCTATTTTGGTTGTTAGTTAAGCTTGTTCATTAGAATACACATATAAGTGAAATCGTATGATATTTGTCTTTGGCTTATTTCACTTAGCATATATTGTGTGAACCAGAATGGGAGTAGTTTCTCCATAATGTTCTCCAGGTCCATTCATGCTGTCACAAAGGGTAAAATGTTCATCTTTTTTATGGCCAAGTAATATTCTATTATGTAAATGTCCCATAGGTCCCATAGTTGTTTTATCCATTCATCTACTGATGGACACTCGGGCTAGTTCCATATCTTGGCGATTGTAAATAATGCTGCGATGAACATAAGGGTGCTTATGTTCTTTTGAATTAGTGTTTTGGGTTTCTTTGGACATATTTCCAGAAGTGAGATCACTGGGTGAAAAGGCAGATCCATTTTTAATTTTTTGAGGTGTCTCCACACTATTCTCCATAGTGACTGCACCAATCTGCATTCCCACTAATAGTGCAAAA